CGTTCGGTCCAAGTTTTAGGTCATAATGCCCTCGGAAGTGCCATTTAGGCCATCTCCGAGTCATGTAAAGATTTAACCGAACACTCCCGAGCAATTATTGTATTTTTAGTCATTTCAGGTCATTTTATGTTCAGCAATATAAGGCTTGCCGGAATAAGTAGCCGGACGGCCGGCGAAGGGCCGACCGTAGAGCCTGCCCGCACGTGGCGGTACTGTGCCGCCAGCAGTAGCCTGCCCGCGCGCAGCAGCACGCGCACGCCAACAGTGCGTCGTGCACAGCCCGTGCGACAGTGCCCAGCAGCGTGCCGCCAGCGGCCATGCGTGCAGTACACGTGATGAGGATCGTGTGTTTCGACTGACGATAAGCCGCTAACCCGCACCTTGAATCGCCGATAGTGTTTCTCTAGCCACAACCGCACCTATTGAAACGATAAAATTGCAATAGTATTCTGGTGAAAAGACTAAAGCAAAGTTGGAAGAACAAAGTTCTAGATTTCTATTAATTTCTTGGATGATTTAATGAATAATAATAACATAGGGGAAGGGGCCTTTATATAGGCACCAACTAGATCTAAGTCTATTCTACCTAGGAAACTAATAAAGTAATAAAATATTAAGTAACCTAAACAATCTAGATATTCTAAAGCAATAAGGAAACTAAATATCTAGGAGATCTCGTGCCTTCACTTGCACTCCAAGTTGGGAAGAATAATCTAGAGGAATTTTAGCTAAAAAAGACTCCTAGAAGTCCCAATTTCTTGCTGGCCAAGTTAGCCCGCGCGCTGCCCCTGGCAGGCCTGCTGCCCGCGTGCTGTCTGTGCGCGCTGCCGCGCTACCCTGTGCGTGCGCGCACGCTGCTGCCTGCGTGATACGGAAGTGGTCATCAACCCCAGCGAGTCCGACGAGGAAGGGGACGATGGTCTCACTTTATGGCTAGAGAATATGTTGGAAGAGCCGTCTAGCCCGATTTACCGACCATCATGCGTACGGGACTGGCCGAGAGGATGTGGCTCATGGGCTAAGTTGAAGGTCAAGAAGCACCGGGCCAAAAGACGACGCAAATCAAAGGCGCAAAAGGTAAGCCAATGTTGTGGGCCGTGCACTAGGAAGAAACGGGCGTGGTGTTCGGAGTTTCAAAGACGAGGAAGGCTAGGAATGGAGAATGGTTGGATATGGCGTGCCGGTGACTGTATTGGGTTGGATGGTTGGGATCCATGGCCGTCGGGGGACAAAGGGATCGGCGAGGAACAGCTATCGGACGGATAGCGCGCATCGTGTCATGATGCGCGCAAGGGGTCGAAGGGCCGAAGCGTTAAACGGAGACGTGGCACCAGGATGTTGGACGCGAGTGACGCGTCATCATGCGCAGGAGGTAGGCAAAAGGCGGGCGTCGGCGATACGCATGGAACCGCAGTGATGAGGATCGTGTGTTTCGACTGCCGATAAGCCACAAACCAGTGCCTTGAATCGCCGATAGTTGCCTAGAGGTTCACAAACCGCACCCCTCTAAACGATATA